TTGTCCCATACGCCGAGCAAGTTCAAAGATTAGCATTACCAGGCCCAAGTGGTGAGGTGGCCCCTAAGATGGTAGCTGATTTGAATAAGGGATTCACTCAAGAAGAGTTGGCATTCATACAAAGCCAGGAATTGCCATTACCAGCTGACATCTTTTTGCAAACCTTAATACAGCCAAATTATGCGAAACAAATTCTGGATAAATCCGGTGAAATGAATACGGAAATAGGCCGGAAAAAAGCTAATTTAAGCACAACAAAAACTAATAGAAAGAAAAATAAGGATGACATTTCCGAATATACTGAAGGAATTGACATCATAAAAAAAATACAGACAAAGAATTGGTATTTTAGAGGAAGGCGCAAAAACATTGAAAGTTGGTCAGGGTATTTATACACAAAAAAAGAGAAATGCCTATAAGATTAACCCCAATACTGGTGTTTATGGAAATGTAACCGTTGACGTGCCCAAACTTTATGGACAGCTCAAACTAATTGCTCACAAGGATGGTAAAAAAGTATATGATAAGCAAGTGGACTTTGATACCCTTGATCTGCTCACAAAGCGGTTCAATAGTAAAAAGAAGTATGCACCATTATCAAAAATGGTATTTGATGACCTGAACAGAATAAGTGATATTCCAATTCACCGAACAAGTAATAAATACAAAAAAATCGGTGCAGGTTTTGTTTATTATATTAATCCAGCTGACCTTTTGGATAGACTGGAATTGTTAGGTGGATCCATATTGGCTGGAAATAATGGCGCGAAAAATGAATTTTCCAAAATTGCTCACACACTAAACAAATTAGGTGTTTTAAATAACACCCAGCTTTATAGTCTGTTGAAGGAATATGTAATCTAATAATATAAATGCAAGAAAGAGCAATCCATATATCATCTGTTGATAGAGAGAAAATCGGACGGAATAAAGCAGAGGATTTCATAATCAAATTCGTTAGTTCTAAAACTCCAAAATGATATGAAACATGAAATGGCACTGGATAAGGTTACAATGACTTATAGTTGGCGTAATATTTTAGATCAGTATCAAAATAATGAAATAAAATACTCACCTGATGGCGGAAATTCATAGCAGACCGTCAAATTTGTGGATGGAATGTACACTTACTTAGACCTGAATGATTATCTCCATCAGTACATGAAAAAGACAGGTCATCTTACCATCGACGATAAAACTGGTGATAAATACCACATTAACCTAACATTCGTATTATCGACATATAAGATTCTCATTCAGATTGACAACAATTACCAACTGGATCCGAGAAACAGTAAATTTGGGAAGTTGATTGGATTTACAGAAAAGATTGTCAATAAAACAGAATATGGGACAATTCTTCCCAATATCACAAACTCTATTGACATGATTTATATCAATACCGATGCTATTACGAACAGCATATTGAATGGTGTTAATACTAATACTTTAGCTGTTATTCCAACTGACAATTTGACGAGAAGCTTTCCATTCACATTTGAACCTAGAAGGCTATTGTTTAATGAAGTTTCGAAGCTTAATATTTCACAAATGAGGTTTTACATCACAGACTCACTGGGGCGACCAATTGGACTAAATAAGATTGAATGGTTTATGACATTGATATTGCGATCCAAACCAGCATATTATCTAACCTAATAATATACAATAAGACAATCAGAATTTAAGAAACGTTATGATGCCAAAATGGGTAGATATATTAAGAGTCATATTTATGGAAAAGGTGTTGTTACCGATATTTTCAAAACGATTGGTTGAAAGCTATTTGGAAAGACGATGAAAGAGGCTGCTAAAACAGCAACCCAAAAGGCCGTTCAGAAAGCTGCCACTAAGACTGGTGAATATGCTGGCGAGAAGGCCGGCGATAAAATTATTCAGTTATTAAGCAAAAAGAATAAAAAGACAAAAACACCAGTAGCGACATCATTAATAGAAAATCCACAATCAAGAGAGCTAAGCAATTACGAGATTAATGAGAGGGTAAATCAATTATTGTCTGTAGGCCGGATGAGAAGATTTATCTAATCTATTAGTATAATGAATTCTTTTAGAGATCCAAAATATGTTGAACGATATGAAGATGTTATTTTTGACCTAGAAACAGCACTGAATACAACTGTCGCCAATAATGCCTATCAGAAGAAGATGGCTATAGGTTTGTTGTTGATAACAGCGGAGAGGTTACACCATTTGACTGGTATAATGCTCGATCAGTCTTGATTTAAAAGTAGTCTTACTGGCTAATGGTGGTAACATTGCAGTAGCAGATCATAATGGAATTGTAAACGGGTCGTACTCATTCTTGAAACATTTTGATATTAAGCTAAGTGGCAAGAAAGTGTATGGTTGTCATGATGCAAATCAGGCGGTTAATATTAAAAACTTACTCGATTACAGTCCATCTTACGCTGAAAAAACAGCATGTAATGAGTTTTTCTTCCTTGATACATCCAGAAATGCAGAAGAGCGGGAATTTGAAGTTAGTGGTACAAATCAATTAGCCAAAAGAAGAGTAGCTTACAATAAAGGTTTTGCCCTTCGAAAAGCACTCTTAGGTACCTCATCCACAGTAAACACTGAAATACCACTGAACAGATACTCGTTTTTCGAAATGTTAGAGGATGAGCTGTTATCCAATACAAGGGTTGAGATGAATTTTGAGATTGAGTCAGATGGTAACCTACTTTGGCAAGCCGGGGCTAATTGCAGGGTGCTTATCACCAGGATGCAGTTGTATGTACCGCGGATAACCTTTAACAGTGAAGGCCAATCATCCTATATGAGTCAGTATCTTAAAAATCACAAGTGGACTTACTTGAGAGAGAATATAGAAAGATCAAATAGTAGCCGGCAGAGAGCTGGGCATTTCAGAATATCAACTGGTATCTCAAAACCAAGGCACGTGTTTGTGTTCATAATCAATGACGCGAATATCGATGCCCAGACAGAGAACCCATTCTTGTACAACACATTCTCTGTCTCAACTGACCCAAGAACCTTATCCAATTGTCATCTGGAAGTTGGAAATGGTAATGAATACCCCGAAATCAATTACACACCAACTACTGATATGACTAGAGTCTTCAGGGATGTTCTGAAATATGTCCATAAAAATAATGAATATGGTGAAGGGTCATTACTCAATAAATCTAATTTTAGTACGCTATTCCCTTTCCTGTATTTCGACCTAACAAAACAGAAAATGGACATTAAGGATGGCACTACAAAAAGGACATTCAAATATGAGCTATCTGGAACAACGGCAATAGCCTACTCAATTTACGCATTAACATTATATGAGCAAGATGTTGAGCTAATTCAAAAGGATGGCAAAATAATACTCAGATCATCGTAAATTAAAAATGGTTAAAATTATGTAACATATATTATATACAAGTAATGACGAAATATTATCCTTATGGTGTGTCACTTAGTAAAGGACAATTGGAAAAGCTTTCGAGAGCTTATAATAATAATACAGGAATAACCATCAGACTTACCAGAAATGAGTTATCCGGACCACATGAATTAATGCTAACAAAAACTCAGATCAATAAATTGAAAAAAGCAATGAGCCAGGGTACAGGATCGGATATCAAGATATCAAAACCACAAATCAGAAAGGCTGTTAGACAGGGTGGTAGTTTGTGGGGATCATTAATCAGTTTAGGAAGCAAGTTGCTACCTATCGCTATGCCACTAGCCAAAAAAGCTATTGCACCCCTTGCAACAGGAGCGTTATCAGGATTAGCCAGTCTTGGTGTGGATAAAATATTCGGAAAAGGTCAACGAGGAGGTTTTCTTATTCCAATAGGTAAAATAGCACAATTAATATATTACAAACATTTACTGACCACGGGGCAGAAAGAGGATATTCTTAAGGCTGTCCAAACTGGCAACGGATTGGTTATCAGACCGACAAAAACACAGAGCGGCGGATTTCTTGGTACTCTACTAGCGAGTATAGGAGTCCCTTTATTACTAAATGCATTGACAGGAAAGTGGACTCAAGTCGACAGAACTGGTTCACCCGCTAATACAACGACAGTATATGTCCCTCCTAGTGTAACAAGTAATCACAATGGCCATGGAATGATAACCCCGTACCCTTACATGTCGCCACCTTTCTTTGGAACATGGGAAAATCCAGTTGGTGCGGGAGCAAAAAAAAAAAGAAAGGGAGAGGGACCGCCGCTCGGCAAAAACAGTCCATTCAATTCAATCCCAGTTCTAGGAACAATACTGTAAGATTCATAAACAAACCATTATCGAATATTGATTTGTTACAATGGGTTACACAATTGGAAATAAAATATTTCAGGGGTATTTACAGCCGTGATAATTTACCAGACAAAATAAATAAATTAGAAACAGGAATAATTAACCTTGATGATTCAATGGGCGTGGGAAGTCATTAGATTTGTTATAGAAACGTGGATAAACAATTTTGTGAATTTTTTGACCCGTTTGGATTGATCATGCCCAATGAAATCAAAAATTACCTGAAAACAAGCGGGAAAAAAATGGTGTACTCATCAGATGAAATACAAGAAAGGGACAGTGTGTTGTGTGGTTATTAGTGCTTATATTACCTCCTGGAGAGACAAAAGGGTAGATCATTATTAGACGTTATACATAACCCCAAATTCAGTTTCACAAATCAAATGATAGATCACCAATTTCTGATAAACTATTTTATGTAATCCATATATATAAGATGACTGAAAAGTTCTGTGTTTATTGCCAAGAACTTACTCCGCATTTTGTGAATCAATATGGATGTTTCGAGTGCTGCAACTGTGAGCCCTTGAGTGAGAGTGATTATGAGTTAGATAGCAGCCATGATACTTATGTTCCAGACAGTAGTGATAGTGATTAGATAATAATTATATAACATAAATATATAATAATGGTGAAATCTTATTGTGTTAAACAGAAGAAGCAAACAGAAAGTGTAGAACCTTCGGGTTACAAAACTGCCAAAAATGGTAGACTTATGTTTTGGTGCACTTGTGCTGAATGCGGAATTAAAAAGTTTAAATTTGTAAAGAAGGGAAACTAGATCAGTCTGTCCTTGGGGCAGGCGTAATGGACACAGTGGCTGGTACAGCACTGGACATGTTTGTACATCACGGGCTTCCTTGGATGGGTAAAAAAGCAGTTGAGATGGGAAGATATTACGGGTCAGAAGCGCTCAGAAACCCTAAATTACAGAAAAAAGCTATAGATTATGTTTTGGACAAATTAAATCCAATGATTCAGAATGTCGGTTCTCAAGCTCTTAACCAATTATCAACCAAAAAACGACCAAAGAAAAACTACAAAACAAACAGGAAAGATCTTGATGGTGATGCTTTGGATATTCACAAGGCCATTGGAAAATTACCAAGACCCGCAGGCGGATGGACCTTGCCAGGGCATAAATACACTGGCCCCTACAACGATCTCGAAAACCAAGTGAGATACAATCCAGAAACTGGTGAAATATTAGAAATTTATGATCAACCAACTGGGCCAACCGATGCAGCGGCAATGCAACATGATGTCGATTATAGTGTTTGTGGTGATAACCGAAAGTGTAAAAATAAAGCTGACCGTAAATGGTAAAATCATTAGACGCCATTCCTTATAATGAACGACAATGGGGACACTGGTTAGCTAGAAATCTAATAAACACAAAACAGAACTTCGGACTTGGTTTAAACTGAAAACGCCGTCAGGTATTAGTTGGCAACAACAATTAGCGGACGAATAAAGCACAACTTTACTCGGCGGCGTGTTATTACAACCGGTATTGGCAAAATGTGGAACTCAGATCTGGTTGAAACGCAACAGTTTAGTAAATGGAACAAGGGATACAGATACCTTCTCATGGTATTAGATCTATTCTCCAAATATGGCTGGATTGTCCCATTAAAGGATAAGAAAGGGGAAACTGTCACAGAAGAATTCAAAACTATCTTCAAAGAGGGCCGTAAAGCACAATATCTTTGGACTGATAAGGAAAAAGAGTATTATAACAAAAATATGAAAGAACTGTTGGAAAAGAATGACATAACACTATACTCAACCGAAAATGAGGAAAAATCTAGTGTGTGTGAAAGATGGAACCGTACAATTAAAACCAAAATGTGGAAGCAGTTTACTGTCCAGGGTAATACCGTATATTTAGACATACTACCAAAAATATTGGAGCAGTATAATAACACCAAACACAGTTCCATTAAAATGACTCCTGTAGAAGCTAGTAAAAAGAAGAATGAAAATACCGTGTATTTCAATCTATATGGTGATATGGAGCAATTGTCATCTAAGCTCAAATTCAAGATTGGTGATAAAGTTAGGATAAGTAAGTATAAGAGAATGGTGTTTGATAAAGGGTACACACCTAATTGGACAGAGGAGATATTCCTGATCGATAAAATCCAATCCACAAACCCAATTACCTACAGATTAAAGGATCTCAATAATGAGGAGATACAAGGCAGCTTTTATGAGCCTGAATTACTACCAGCAAAACAGGATGTATTTCGCATTGAAAAGGTCATTCGGAGGGATTATAAGAAGAAACAAGCTCTTGTAAAATGGTTGGGCTATAGTGACGACTTTAATAGTTGGACTCCACTAAGCAACCTGCAAGAATTATCTAACTAATAGTATATATGGACGATCATACAAGAAAGCTTGATACTAAAATCCAGAGTAAGGAAACCGAGCTTAATGCACTATTCACTAAAATCCAAAAATTGGAGGAAGAAATTGCGACATTATACCAAAGAAATTAATATCCAAAAATCTGGAAACAGTAGAAATGTCATTAACCGGCGTCCTAGGTGCAATCTTTGAAACAGAGGAAGAGGAGGTGGAGAAAGAGTAAATTGCCACCGTACCCAAAATGGGGACGGTGAGTCTAAAGGTGTTGCCCCGTCAAAATGAAGGGTCAACCAGGTGAAACGCCGGGTCAACAAATTGAGGCATTTTTTGGGGGGGTGTCAAAACGACGACCCTGGTCTAATGTGCTGAAACGGCACCTCAGGCCTAGCATACTTTTTAATCTATCATACTTATCATATTTTTGGTCTGTATGATAATATTTATGTAACCTATATATATATACGATAAGTATGATTGAAAAAAAAGTATTCTAACGAAGAGATGAACATCGAACTGACTTCATTTCTTGATAATAACCAAAATGTTTGGTTCAAGGGTAAGGACATTGCTACTGCCTTAGGTTATAGCGACACGAGCCAAGCAATAAGAAAAAATGTGTGCATAGAAGACAAATACAAAGGGGGTGTCTACACGACGGGGGGTTTTCAAACTTGTGTTTTCATAAATGAATCCGTTTTATACTCTCTCATCTTATCCTCAAAATTGGAAACTGCTAAAAAGTTCAAACATTGGGTAACATCACAAGTCCTCCCATCCATCCGTAAATATGGCTACTATAAGTCATTCAACAAACCCTGGAATAAGATGATTATGATTGGCAATGAGACTGACCTACATTATAAAGTAGTGGACCTCATAAGAAAGTACTATCCAGATACTATATTAGTAGCCGGTCTGGGAGAGAATCAAGATACTGAGGATAAGAGGCTTGATTCGTATAAGAAAGGATATACCCGTGGACAGCCTGATTTGATGATACTCGATTATCACAAAGATTATAAATATAAAGGCCTTTGTATTGAATTCAAATCACCAACTAATAATTATCATGTATCAGAAGCCCAAAAGGAGATGAAGAAGAAGTACGTTAATAATGGCTATGCTTTTGTGCTTAGTAATGATTATGATAGAATCTGCATGAATATCCATGATTATATGAAAGGTATCAGAGTTCCGTGTAAATATTGCATCAAACAATTCCTTAATAAGGACACACAAAAAATGCATTATAAAGTTATCCACCGAATTGAAAAATAAAATTATCACAAACTAAAAATAAGTCAGTATCTATTTAACACACCTTTTTTATATTCCATAATTATATACAATATATATATATATATATGGAAGATTTTATCCGTCTTTTTGACAAACAACAATCTCTATCAGTAGGCACTACTTTGATATCTATGTATATTCCTCCAAATGGTAGAGTACGCCTTAGTAAACAAAAATTAACCAGTGAATTGGGCCTTGTCTCAAATATTAAGTCAAAAGTCGCGCAAAAGCACACGAAAACCGCTCTAAAATCAGCATTATAGCAACTAAACCAGCTAAAAAAACCAAGAATTTCATGCCGTGGGTTGTTACTACTATCTGGCATCATAAAACATACTTGTGAAGGATACAAAGGATCAGTACTCATTGAGCCTGAGCAAGCAATAGAAAAAGCTGATTATAAATGCGGTAAGAGCTTTTATTTAGATCCTATTTTAGATACTTATAAAAAGAAAATAATTAAAAATCCAATAGTTGATGAAATATTGGATATGATTGCAAAAGCAAATATAGACAGGTTGGATTTTGGACTAAAAAAAATAACCAATAATCATTCTCATATTGTATTCACAAATGAGGATAAATATCAAAACTATAAGCCAGATCCTGACTCAAAAACCAAAATAATATATAGTCGCAAACTATTTCAGTATGGTGATATGGTTGGGCTTAGATATTATTAATTGTCATACAACATATCCAATTTAGCTTGTTTAATAATTTCCCAGCCAAATTTCCTTGTATTTATTTGTAAATTGCATAAACGGTTATCTTTTTTGTTACCATTTATGTGAGTAATTATCTTCCCCTTCGGTAAAATACCATTATGACACTCATATACAAATCTATGTACTTGTCGTTGTAGTCTCTTAGAACAACCTACATTTCGAACACCACAAAGTATAAAATAAGTCTCTGGATGTTGGCGACAACTAATAGGTGACCCATGTTTCACATTAATTATTACCCCACCTTCTGAAGCTGCATATAATATGTAAACCGGATAAACTGCATAATAAATGTCATCTACAATACTAAATTTTTTACCATCTTCTGGTCTAATATATATTTTATCGTCCGGGTAAATTTCATCCCAATACTTCATCTTCATA